TCTGCATGCACTATCTTTGAACAACAAAGTTTATTTACATTCCACCAACTACCCAACAGATAATAAATTTTGACTAATTGTTGGAACAAAAAGCACATCAGAAATATACCCGATTCCTACTGATGCATGAACATTGACAGTTCTTTTTCCAATGGCATCAAGATAGAGTCCATTACCGATTTTAATTGTAGATTTATAATTCTTATCTAAGTCAACAAACATGCTTTCTAGTGTTAGAACTTCTATTTTCAAGTAACCACTAATTATTATGAACATCACTGTTGGGTGCAGTTAGTGCCATAAACAGTGCCACTAATTATTATGAGCCAACTGATCTGCATTTTGAGTTGTTGAAGATTTATTTTTACACACGTTATCAATGTGTCCAGGTTCATTGTAGATTTCACACTTGGTATCAGGTTTAAACCAATAGTTATCCTCAGAGTGATTAAGCTTATTGCAATGCATGTAGACTTTGAACTTGCCCTTTTTGTTGGAAGTTTTGCCAGAATTGAAGGCATTTTTGTCCTTATCTTTGAAGTTCTTCTTTTTCCTCAATGTTTTGCAGCAATTGCAATCTCCACACTTGGATTTTTGCATGCTGTACATCTCTGCTTAATAGCTCGAAGAGCACTCAATATTTAGTGATTGTAAGTTTGATGGGATCCTTCAATTGCTTAAGAGAATCAACAATAACTTCAAACTTTTCTAGTATGCTTATTAGAATCTTTTCCATAACCCTAGTCTCAGATAAATTCTCACTTAGCATCTTAATTTGGTTGATGTAATGACCTTCTTCCCGATCATTACAAATGTCCGAGACTTACAAGTGAACCCATCAAATCCCGATCAAGGCTTAATTGACTTTCTTGTTAACCTATATTGAATATTCTAATGCGTATACAAGTCAACTTAGATTTTATTATAATGTTCCACTTAAACCGAATAAAAACTGTAATTAAGTTGTAGCAACTAGATAACAATATCCAAATCTAGCCAACTTCAAGATATTTTCAACATCACACTTAGTATTTAATGCACAACCTCGAGGTTTTTAGTGATACAATCTGATAAACTAATAGTTTTTATAAGTCTGGTTGTTTTACACAATACGACCCCTATGTAGCGGAGCAATTCAGAGTAAAAATCTAAGAGATGCCACTACCTACATTGCTGCGAGTCAAAATATGCTGGGCAATACACTTGAGCTGATCACTTATCTGCAAAAAGAAGATAAGAGAGGTGAGTCTCACAAACTCAGTGATCATTGGCTCCATGAGCAGGGCGTAAATGGGAAACAAGCCAAGGACAGAAAGCTTGAATGTTAAAAGATAAGAATATATATATATATAAATAATTCAAACTCAAATGGAAAGGTTGTGCCTTACTTATAAATTCAATAATTGTGATGCAAAAAATCATTTCAAGTAATGTATTAAAACTAGTGCAAGTGCAAGATTTCTACCATCAAAATCATTCAATTTCTTTTACTTAAAATTGGACTATCACAAGCATGCACGCTCCCATGAAATCAAGCATTATCAAAGCTTATACACAAGCTTGTAAACCATCTCATCATTGAGGAATTAAACACAAAATCATAGTATAAATAAAGGAGTTGCGGCAAAACTTGTATTTCTCACCATGCAATGAAAATCATGTTTGAAAACCCTAAAGAGATCTCACTCTTGAGTAGGTAATCATAGTAATCAACCGGAAAGCCCCCTCCACTAGATTCCCACAGCTATGGTAGTCTTAAGGATGTGGGCCGACATCAGAGAAATCATGTGGTCGCAACCATGAATATCAACTTATGGCCTAGGCACATATATCATCCTGTGGCCTTGCCATGTATATTAATCACAGACTATGGCCTAGCCACGTCAAATGGCCTGTTGGTGACCCAAAAGTTCTCTAGCTAGAGCTCACTTATGCACAAGGGTCACATTATCTCGATGTAACATTTGACCTACTCTCAAATCTCCAAGTTTGATTAAACCATTTATAAGCAAATTTGGGTTCTCAAAAGCTTATTTGAAAACTATTTCCAAAGTGCCAATCACGGTGACATAATAAATTCATTTGCAAGACTTCGTGTTGTAAAACCTTTGCATGAGGTTTAAATATTAAATCAAAGCATGGTGACATAAAGCTTATTCAGGAATGTACATCACAAAAACAAGTAAGGCACATTTTGACATAAATCGCGATAAAAAGCTTGTTTTCTGGTTTCTAAAACCCTTTACATATATAGCTTATATACATATAAAACATTTCTAAAAACATGACATTCACAAGTGCCTAGCATTCTACCAACTCATGCTGTCCACAATTGCACTAAAGAAATTCAACAACATTTATTAAACATATATCAATATATAGGTAATGGAACTTTTGAAATAGACACCCCTTACTCACCTCACGATAGCGGGACGCTACGTCGCCATTAATTCGTGTGTGTCTTTAGCTAATTCTACTTGCCAGTCACCCATTATCTCTTCTGATACACCACCACCGCAAACCTTCCTCACTTGCACACTTCCTAGCAACAAATCAAACTCAATATACTTAATTGTACATATATATGGGTAGCACTTCAATCAATGAATCTCTAATCTAACTTCAGTTTTTTCATCCTTGTTATTCATAATAATCTAACATGCAATCTATGAACTTTCAACCAACCAAGTCCAATATAACATAAAGTGCTCACATTACATGCTTACCCTTCGATTTTTATCTTGAATTCCACTTATAGCTCACAATCTTCTCACACTCTTGGTCACCATTGTTGCCACAAGCATAAATAATCAACACACATCTTATTCTTTCTTTTCATTAGTGATCTCAAGATTAAAAACACTTACCCATCATTTGTCTTGCTTTAAATCACCATACTTTTAAGATCAACCCACGTGCATGCACCCAGTTCTTTGAATCCTTGAAGATTTTTGCTACCACAAGCGCAATCTTACATTACAATCAGTTTACAAGGCATGCATTTAAACAAAATGACAACTTTTACCTTACTTATCTTGGAATCACTAAGCTGAACCACCAATGTCTTCTTTAAGCTCCAACAATGGTGTGTGGGAGGAAAACCTCTCAATTTTTCTCCAATTCCTCCAAAACTGAACCTTTCTCTTGCTTTTCTTCTTTATTCTTTTTCCTTTCCTTCTTTTTATTTTATCCTTTCTTCCTTTCTCTTTTTACTTTCAAAATCGACTCTTTTTCTTTTCTCTCAAAGGTACGGTTTTTCTCCCAACCTTTGCTAACCTTCCATTTCCTTATTTATTCCTCACTTTTCATTGGACCAATTCATCCCCTACTCAAATTTCATGCCCCAATTTCCTCCCTTATTCATTAGCCCAATATCTATCCTTATTTATCTTCTTCATCCACCACCTTCACTATGTCATCTTTTCTTCCTTTATTATTTATTTCATGCACCACCTTATTCCTCCAATCATATTTCATGCACAATTTTTACTTTATATTTTATTTGGTCATTCATTAATCCATTCAAGTCATATGCATCACACATTCTTCTTTCCTCATTTGGCCACCTAATGCACCAATCTCATTACATGCAAATAGATTTAATCTTATCCTTCCTTTTACCTCACATGGTGGGGTCCCATATGTTTTCTACGAACTTTCTCCTTTTTGCATGTTATATTTTGCATGTAATAGTGAACCCACATGCACATGTCATTATTATCTCAATTATTTCTCTATTTCTTCCAAACCCACATTTATTATTAATACTTATATCACTAAAATTTCACTCATTAAAGTAATATTCTAGATTTAATAAAATAATATTTTATTCATCAAATCATCAAAATTATATTACAACTCCCCTACTTAAGTTCAACACTTATATTATGCGCGTTTGTCCACCACTCAAAATAGGAATATCTCAATATTATTTTAATAATATTTTATTATTAAAATATTATTAAATTTCAAAATTTTCCATTTGGCTTTCGGGGTTCCCAAACATTGTAGTTTATCCTGGTTTAGCTCCATCGCTGCTTTTTACTCCATTACAATGACCTTAATAAAATATTATTATTTTATTACGTATGAAATATTTTATTCCAAAATATTTCATTCCTCTTTCACCAATCCTAAACTCTTGTAGTGACCTCTATTGGTTTTAATCTTTTTCTTACAACAGTATTAACCACCGATTTAGGTCATGAGGTGTTATAGTTGACAAGCTTCATAACTTGGTCAACATACTCTTTCACTTTCTGAGTATCTTCCATTCTCATCAAATCAAACTCTCGCCTAAGATTAAGGAGTTGCATGTGTCTGGTTCTAGTATTACCAAGAAATTCTACTTAGAGAGTATCCCAAGCTTCTTTGGCCATTTAACAGCCCATGATCCTACTAAATATAAACTCAGACATGGATAAATGGAGGAATGACAATGCTTTGTAGCGTTTGGAATGTCTTTTTTATATTGTTTAACTTAAGCTGCAAGTGCATTGTCTCGTAGTGGTGGAACTTTAGTATCATTTTCCACCATATTCAAGAGATTATAACCTCTCAAGTAGGCCTTCATCTTGACAGCCCACATTGAGCAATTAAAGCCATCAAACAATGGTGGTAGTTGGCGTGTAATGTTAAAAGTAAAGGTTGACATTTCTAACAAATGAGGTAAATGAAGTTTTTAAGGTTTTTGTGTATGGGAAGGCTTCATAAGGTCCAATAGGGATCAAGTTGTTGGTATGATACCATGGTATGTTTAGAATGAGTTGGATCTATTTTATTAAGATGAAGTCTGAAGTGTTTGAGAAGAGAATTACCAAGAATTACTCTTTTTAAAAGCCTAATCTGAAATGTTTGAAAAGAGAATTACTCAAAAACTTGAAGCATTAGTCCGGAGAGCAAAATTAAATGCACAACAACCAGAAACTTTGCTCTCCACATGCAAGAGCATCACTCAAAACCAAAGACTATTAAATGAAAACCACAAGGAATGAGAAGATTCATACATCACTTAAAGTTTTGGATTGACTACCACAAGCATAAGAGTTCGCAAGACTGTTCATGTTTAGTGCAAGAGTAGTAGCAGTTGGTTCTGATGAAGCAACAGTCTCATGTTTGATGACTTGAAGGCCAAAAATGGAATCAACAACCTTGTGAGCTATGGCAGTGCTAGTACCCCATGCCAAACTGACACAGAAACAAAGAAAAAAATAGATACAGTCCATTGAATGCCAATAGATGTTAAAAATTACAACTTATAACAAAAAATAGCTTTTGATTGACCATCAGCAATAGTAGCACCAATTCCTCCTGCCACAAATCCACTTCCACCAAGCCCAAGTGCTGGTGGAGGGGAAGAAGTAGCTGCAACAAACAATAACCAATTTATTTAACCACTAAAGTTAAATACACACCACTTCATAAAAACACTATAAAAACAATATTTTGGAACAAATTCACCTTAAATACAAAATTTTAAGAAAATTAAAATAAAAAATTCAATCCTCTATTAATATGCCATCTTTTCACTCCTGTTCTTATTGAATTCCTTAATAAATAATTAATTAGTGAGAGTAATAAGTATTATGGATGAAGTTAGTTATTAAGTGCAATCCCCATGATACGACCAAGATATTAGATCAATAAAATAAAAATTACCAGGTTGCGAATGAGGATTACACATTGTTGCAAAGGTAGCACGACATGGACCTAACTTTCTTGCAAAATTAAAATTTCTAGTTAGCATTGCCAATTGTGCCAATTACAGTGCTAAACCTACTCGGAAAATAGGGAATGATGAAAATAATAAGTGAAAAATCAAATGATGATCATCATCATTAATTGCAGCTTTCAACTTTCTTATGGGAATAAAATTGGAAGAAACGATGGAATGATGTCCAATACGCAGTTGCACCTTCCAAAGTTAGAAAAAACTTGTCTTGTTTGGTTTTTATTGGCCCTTTGTTTTCATGGCTGTTGTTCAAGCAGCATTTTGATTTGGTATCTCGCATTTTTTATGGTGATTTGGACACGGGGAGCATTCTATATTTGTGTATCTCTCTATTTGTAGAAAAAACTGAAATATGAAGCTAAAAGCAAAAAACAACCAAAACCAAACAACAGGCCTAACTCTTATTTTTTTATATCATGACAACATTTACTTTTTAAATTAACGAAGGGGTGAAATAATATGATGCGATTATTTATAAAAAATAAGGACTTTCAAATGTAAATACACAAAGACTATAGCATAAACCATAATAATATAATGAAAATTTCCAATTTTTTCTAAAACAAAATACCAATGGATTGCAAAAAAAAAAAATCATCATGAGGAAAAACTAATTTGTAATATGATATGATATTCATATTATTTAAACAAAATTAATATGATAATAATTTTTTAGTTTAAACATATTTATGTCATCATATTAATAATTTGACTAACCATACTTTTCATATATTTGTCAATTTCTAAGAAAATGAATTGTTTACAAAGTTAGTAAAGGTGTTGAGTGCTCTTCCCTTTTTAGATGAGTTTGAATGCAAACACTAGTATTGGATAAATGTTTAATTTAATTATTTAAACAATAATAAATATTTATAAATGGGTATCGTGTTCGAGGTAGGTTCTCAAGGAACTTAAATAACAACATAATTGGATTCAGTTATCACTATCTAAACCCATCCCAAGCTTGGTTATAGGATACCTCAACCCTATATAACTGTCAAATATCAACATAATTGGGTTCAGGTTTGAATCCAACACTAGTATTAGATAAATATTTAATTTAATTATTTAAATAGTAATAAATGTTTATGAATGGGTATTGGGTTCTAGGCAATTATTTGAGGAACCTGAATATCAACATAATTGGGTTCAGGTATCACTCTTTGAACTCATCTCAAGCTTTGTTATAGGATACCCTAATCTTATATAACCATCGAATATCAATATAATTGGGTTTAGGTATCACTATCTAAACTCGTCCCAAGCTCAGTTATAGGGTACCCTAACCTTATATAACTAGATAAAGTGCTTGCACACCTTATAACAAGATCAATATGCTCAAATATTAGGCCTTTTTGTAAATGACTCGACACGTGTGGTCACTAGAGAGGGGTTTTTGAGGATTTCTAAATTTGAGTTTTTTAAGGTTGCCATATTTAATATCATATGTTAATATCAACATATAATTGATATCATTTAAAATAAATAATTACAAGTAATTTTATATTAATTAATACAGGTTTATATATATGTTACTAATTTTAAATACTTATAAAAAATCAAATATATAGTATCCACAAAAAACTAAAATATAATATTTTGATTTTCCCCAAATGAAAGTATTTAAAACTTTGTTTAATTATATAAATAAAGTTGAAAACAATCTTTGTGACAAATTTTCAATAACAAACTTGTGACGATCAATTTTATTTTTAATTTAGCAAGACACCTTTATTTCCTTCTAAATTAATTGTCACAAATCCATCACTATTTTTGTTACAAAAATATAATATTAAATTAAACTAATCCTTGTGGAAGATTATTCTATGACAATAATTTGTATTTATATTAAATTAGGCAATATTATTTACTTGAGCTACCTGAATTAAATTTTCATCATAATTCTGTCACTAATTTTGTCACCAAATAAGAAATCCTAATATTGTAATGGTTTCCGTCGCTAATTTTGTCACCAAGAAAAAAATTTCACATCTAAATGAATTGTAAAGGATTTAGTGAGAAATTTAAAATGCCATGACAATTCTGTCACGAATCCATCACTAAATCTATCACAATTTCTCATAAATAAATTATCATTAATTCTAACACAAAACATCACAATTATATCACTATAAGTCATTATCTGTGATCAAAAAATAGTGAGAAAATTTTTTGTCACAACTGCCCAATTTTCTGGTAGTGAAAGGTTAATAGAATGCCAAATGTTCTAGACTTGGTGCACACTGATATGCATGGATCAATGAACATATAAGCTAGAGGAGATTATGAATATTTCATAACCTTTATTGATGACTACTTGAGACGTGGTTTTGTGTATTTAATGCACAAAAAAAGTGAATCCTTTGAAAAGTTCCAAGAATTCAAAGCTGAATTTGATAGCAACTAGGCAAGCTGTTGAAATAACTTTGATAAGATCGGGGTGGTGGGTATTTATCAAATGAATTTTGGCAAATCTCATTGAAAATGGCATAATTTCCCATTTGTCAGCACTGAGAACACCTTAATATAATGGTGTAGCTAAAAGAAAAAATAATACTTTTTTATAAATGGTTAGATTAATGATGTCCAATACTAACCTTCTAATCTCGTTTTGAGGATATTATATGCAAAATGCTGAGTACTTGTTTAACTTTCCAGCATCTAAAGTTGTGCTTAAAACACCAAGGGAGTTATGAACAAGGCATAAATCATCTGCAAGTTATTTGAGAACTTGAACGTGTCCTGCACATGTTTTAAAACCTATGTCCGCAAAGATGGAACTAAAGACTAAGGTGTTCTTGTTTGTAAGGTATCCAAAGGGAGTAAGAGGATATTACTTCAAAAGTCCTCGAGATAAGAAAGATTTTTTTAAAGTAAATGCCATTTTCTTGGAAGAAGAGCTTGAGAGAAATCATAAACCTAGAAATAAAATTGTCTTGGAAGAATTGTCTGATCCTTCAAATCGAAGAGTTAGTTTTGAAGATATCATAACACAATCTAATTCAAGGATTGAAACAAAAACACAACTTGAAAATTAAATAGTGGTGCCCAGACGTAGTGGAAAGTTTGTGAGACAACTAGAGAGATACATGGCTTTAGGAGAAAACATGATTACACTCTTAGATGAACATGAATTTGACCTTATTACATATAAAGAAGCTATTAATGATGTAGATGTTGAGGAGTGGCATAAAGCAATGAAATCTAAGTTAGACTCCATGGAGTCCAACAAAGTTTGGACTCTAGCAGATACACATAAAAGGATAAAACCCATGGGATGCAAATGGATTTACAAGAGAAAAAAAAGGAAGTGATGGGAAAGTGGAGACCTTAAAATCTAGACTAGTAGCCAAGGGTTTTATCTAAATAGAAGGCATTAACTATGAGGAAACCTTCTCACTAATTGCTATGCTTAAATCCATAAGGATTCTCTTATCCATAGTTGCACATCTTGATTATGAGATTTTGCAAATGGACTCCAAGATCGCATTTTGAAATGGGAATCTTGAAGAGCATATTTATATGGCTTAACTAAAGGGTTTCATTGAAAAAGGCCATGAGCATAAAGTTCTTGAAAAACATAAGTCTATTTATGGCCTTAAACAAACATCTAGGTCTTGGAACTTAAGATTTGATATTGCTATTAAATCATATGGGATTCAACCAAATGCAGATGAACCTTATGCCTATAAAAGGATACAAGATAAAAAGGTTGTTTTCCTAGTTCTTTATGTCAATGGCATTCAACTCATTGGAAATGATGTAGGAATGTTGTCAATAATTAAGGGTTAGCTAAACTAACAATTTGATATGAAGGATCTGAAAGAAGGCAGCTTTGTTCTAAGGATCAAACTTGTAAGGGATCATAAGAACAAGCAAATAGCATTATCACAAGCATCCTACGTAAGTAAGATTTTGGCCAAGTTTGCTATGCAAGATTCCAAAAAGGGTTTTGTGCCCTCTAGACATTGAATCAAACTTTCTAAGCAAATGCCACTTAAAACTCCAAAGGAAGTTGAAAACATGAGATGAATTCCATATGCATCAACTGTTTAAAATCTCATATATGATATGTGTTGTCAATTTTGCACATGCAAATATACATATCGAACAAGTAATATGGACAGTAAGTCTATAATTGTATCCGATAGGGATTTGTTCCTAAATCTTTACTAAGTACGAAAATTATGAAAAACTAATCTTATTCAAGTAACTATTTTTTTTAATTTATTAAAACTAAATTAAAGCAAACACTAAATTAATTAACAAGGCTTAAAATTTACTTGAGAAAGGCAATAGACTAAAATCTAAGATTATGAATTCATTCGACACTTCATTTGATATCAGCTTTTTTTATTAATTATATTCATGGATGGCTTTACTAACTTAGAATCCAAAGCTATGTACAAGTCTCCATCTAGTTGCTTGCACAAATACCTAACTTAATTTGGTCACTATATGTCTATAGGGAATCAATTAAATAAGGTTCATTAAGCTACTATTCCAATTTTTCTATGGAATTGGCATGCGTCCACCTGAATCGTGAATTAGATCACCTAAGTGATGTAAACATACACTATTCATATCTTAATCCAATCTAAAATATCTCTATCGAGTCTCAATTCAATTCACCAATTAGTTACATATTGATCAGGCAATTAAAAACATTAAGAACATATTTGAATAAGTAAAATTATACCCATTCGTATTGAATAAAAGAGAAACTAATATTCAGACTGTATCTTGAAATGCACCACAATCCTAGAAAAATAAATTAGTACATAACATCTAAATAAAGCATCATCCAAACAAAATTAGCCATTAATCTAAGTCAAAGAAAATAAGAGCAACACAAAGATAGAAAAAGAAACTAATGATTGAAGCTTTTGATCTTGATTCTCTTTCAAATTCTCTTTCTTTCTCGCTTTGTTTTTGGCTCCTTTTTCTTTAGA